GGTTGTTAACTTAATAAAATTTTCCGTAAATTGAGAAAAACGTAAAAATTATTGTGACGAAATTTTGTGTACAGATGGAAAATGAGGTGAACGAAGTCACGAGGCTACTGTTGTTAGGCAAAACTATTTTTGGCAAATGGCAAAAGTCGAAACTAAACCCGGCAAAAGTCAAAACTGGCAAAACTCTGGCAAAACGGCGAAACTATGGCAAAACTCTGGCAAAACCCTGGTAAAGCTAAGACCCCTGGAGAAAGTCAAACACAGCGAAGATCAATCCTCTAAGACTTAGAAAGACTGAGCCATGTTGGTAAATTAAAATATTTTGCATATTGCTATTAAGCACAGCTTGTGGCTTATAATATACAAAAGTAATAAACAAAGCGATGACCTTTGTTTGTATTCGAGTACTATTAAAAAAAACTAGACTTCAAGCTTTTGAACTTAAAATAAATAAATTCTGCCTTGAAAATTTAAAGCATGAAATCACGTTTTCTTTTAGTAGCGCATTAATATTATTCATGTAAAGTAAACTTGACTAAATCTTTAAATAAATTTATTCTATAATGTTAAGATTTTTTCTTTTTAGCATTTTGTTAAATTTTAATAAATATTATACATATGTAAGTAATTTGTTAACATTATTATTGACAATTATTTCCCAATGCTCTATTCTAAATATCAGAGCTAACTTTAAGGAAATAATTGTTGTATTATTGCCGTATAATAGATCAAATATAGTAAAATTTAGATTATTAATCAAAAACATCGTATACAGCATGATTATGCACATATACGTGACAAAATAAATTGTGTTAGGTTAAAATTAAATATTAGGTTGGGTAAAAAGGCTATGGGTCAAAATCCCGACAAGCGAAATCTCGACAGGTCATAATCCTGACAAAAAATCCCGACAGCCAAAAAACTGGCAGTTAAAAATCCCGACAATTAAAAATTCTGATGAAAATAAACTAACTCTAGTCTAATTCTTATCTAAAGTAACCTAACCCTAAAGTTAATTAAATTATAAGAGGCTACTTCACTTTGAACATACCCGATATTCAGGATTTTCTACTTGAAAATTCTGGCTGTCGGGATTTTTGATGGGATTTTGACTACCGGGATTTTTTTGTCGGGATTTTACCTGTCGGGATTGTGCTTGTCAGGGTTTTGACCGGCACTTGGCAAAAGTCTGTGCTAGAAGTAGTACCTTATTGTCGCGAAATAACAGGCCGGGGCGTTATTTAGAAAATCGTACCCCTAAAAATAATATATATGGTTTCTCTATATAACGCGCATCTAAAAGAGTGCTTCGGAATAGGTTTTCTTAGTATCAAACTTACTTCCAAAGCACTTTATTGTTTACTTAAAAAGTTTATATTTGTTTCAAAATAACGCCCCGACACGTACTCTAAATAACGCGCCTATACTTAAAATAATGCGCCGGGATGCGTTATTTCGCAACAATACGGTAATTATATCTATTCTAAAAGCCAAATCTGGGCATCTGTAGGTAGGTTATCTAGGTAGTAATATTAATAAAAAGATTAATAATTAGATAAAAAGATTTTAAATTTTTTTAATTCTTGTTTCTTTATTATTTTTTACTAATTTTATTAATTTTTTTTTTAGTTTTTCACCTTTTAGCAGTTTTGCCATTTTGCCATTTTAAATTTTTTTTTGGCAAAAGTCGAAACTAGTTTTGACTTTTGCCAATGGCAAACCTCTAGGTTTTGCCTAACAACACTACACGAGGCATCCAATTGTCACGAGATCACGACCCATACCCATGACGTATAATGATGAAAATATAATGTTAATATGACAATTATCGACTTGATTGATTGAGCGATGGTTATAAGCGATTTGTAAGTATGATGTATTGTGTGATGTGTATCGCTTTGATTGATTGAGTGATAGTAGTATGAGGTTATAGTGAATGGCTATAAGAGAGGAAAAATTTGTTCTCCCTCTTTTATCTTTGCTGCTAGCTCAACACAAGTCTAGCTTCATCATTGGTCATGTGGTCAACAAATAGGATTCGGTTATTCAAATTAAGAATGATAGCAACTTACAGGAGATATTATCAACAATGTTAACTACAAATAGTAGTTTAGAAGAGGATGAAGAAAGGGTTTTACAGCAGGTTTTGAAGATCAGTATAGATTATATATCAATAGAGAAGTTAAAAATAATATTCTTAGATATGGAACCTGCTATTACGAAGACATTAGATCAAAAAAAAAAAAAATTCAAATGAGATCGGTAACTCGTACAATATCTTGGAATTTAATAGTAAGGCATAAAATCAAAACTATTTATCAATTCTCTTGAACATGAAATTTGTCATTATGAAAGCATTAACCCACATATACGCATAATAAGTCCGATACTAAGTTTCAATGTGACCCACCTATTATTGCCACCAAAATCAGTTACATATATGGGTAATTATTTTTGAATCCAGACTAAAATGTTATTACGCCATATATATAAATTGGTCCGGGTTCAAAAATAATTACCCATATATGGAGCTTAAATTTATTTGCCGACATTAAAATTAATGAAGATTAATAATAATATATTAAGAATAATAATAATTTATATTGAATTTTTTATTTTTTGAATATCGTAATATTTTCTAAAAAGTACATACACATCTTACAAAATTTGTTCATCTTGTCGACTGCAAAGCCAAATATTTGCGTTTCAAATTAATAATAATAAAAGCAAAAAACAGATATATGAGGATCGAATTTAAATGATATTCACAAGCAAAAATAAATAGATGTTGAAGGAAAAAGCAATATGTATATGGTATGCTAATAGGATTATTTGCCAGTACGTTTTCAATTACTCCTGCATTAACGAATATTACCATTGTGGCATAAAGAATTCGGAATAAATTAACTACACGTAGCATTAAAACGTGCAGAAGTATTTAACCAATCATTAATTGGTCATATTCTTTTTCTTTTTTTTAAAAAAAACAAATTCTTATTACGCAAATATCCTTTCGAGAAGATGGATGCATCATTTTCAGGAAAGATTGTCATCATATTATGATTAAATTTTCTAAATCTAACATTATATTAATTTAGTTACAACGAAATTCTCAACCTCTTTTGTTACGGAAGCTAAGGAAACATCATGGGAAAATATTCGAACGTCGCCTTACCGTAAAGTGCTATACGGTAGATCCCCTATGAGATATACCCTGTGATGATTTGTGAACTTAAGGGTAGGGTGTCCGTAGATCATTTTTAATAGTAATCATGTGGTATTCATATGAAATCATGTGATTGACCAATCAGAATCGTAAAAACAACAAATTTGACCAATCAGAATAGGTAATTTTTGTGCAACCTAAGTAAATTTGGGGTCTCCTAAGTATTTTTATCAATATACGAAGTAGATTTTTTTTAAAAGATACAGTGTTTATAATTTTACTGTTATAAATTAGAAACCCCAAATTATATATTGGAAAAATTTGGTGAAGATTAGTCACGATTCTAAAAAGTTTTATCAGTGGCGAATTTTTGCTGTCTATGTAAAATTTTAATATACCACGTAGATCATATGAAAAATGATCTACGGACACCCTACCCTTAAGAATGAACTCTGTGAATTCTAACTTCTCTTAGTAATGTCGAAAAGTCTTCTTCTTTTAATTCTTCCAAGTTGCTAAAGGTAATTGTCATAGTGGAATAAAGATAAGGCAATCCACAAACTTGGAGAAGTTGATAAATCCATTCTGCACATTTCTATACTCGGGCAGCACGTCTTAGTCCTAAAGCTTTTCTAAAATTATTACAAATCTTCTGTGTCTTTTCCTTATTACTATCAGCTTCTTTCTTTAGCTGTTCTAGATAATAAGATGTTTTTAACATTCAAATCTGTTGGTCACGTGATTTTTCACAGCTCTCTTCTTTTAATCGACTAACAATTTCTCTGAGTTTTTCTTTGAAGTTTACTCTAATTAGAGGGTTGCATCGAAGAAAAACTTCTTCTTTTACTTCTGTAAAATCCTTAATAAATCCAGCGAGAACTTCATTTTCTGTGTCTTGTATTTGTACAATATCTGCATCGGGTTGCAGAGGAAGTATATCCAATTCTTCTTCTATAGGTTCGATAGAAAAAGCAAGATCGTCAAATGTTATATCTGGAAAATAATTATTTAATACATCAGCATTTTCCAAATATTGTGTGGGTAGGTCCGGTTCTGTTTCTGGTACATATTGGAATAACATAATAATATCAGTTCCATCATATACTACAATAGAATTTCCATTTATAATTAAACTATTGTTTGTGACAAGAGGGTCCTGGTACCATAGTACAAGAAAATTATTTAAAGCATCTATGGTCTGGGGTTGTAATTGTTGTAGAGTGGGAATTTCTATTTTCAAGATATTGGGTGAAAAATTACCAAATTGGGGAATGGAAATTTTGATGCAAGGGGTATCTATTTATAAAGTTTTATAGTAATACGAATATAATTAAGAGATTTTTGAAATGTTTGCCTGTGTATCCCATATGGAGTATCTTTGTCTACTATAATTGTTAAACAAGTTTTTGTTTAACTGTGTGTTCTGGATTTTCAATTCTAAAAATAAAAATTCTACAATGTTCTATTAATTAAAAATTCTTTGTCTGTCCATCCCCTTAAAAAGTGAAGTCTCTGAACTTCATGTGCTAAACTGTCCAAAATTAGCATCTAATTGTCTATAGATTTCCTATTTTAGCAATCACATTGTCAGTTGCGATTGTGTTTCTGCATGTATCGTATGATCTTTTCATTACGATTAATTGTGTTTTTCTGTTATTTAGTCCTTGATTTTTGGCATTCGTCATATTCAAAAATCTTCTATTCACAACTTTCTGGTCCTTATCTTTTCTTTTTCTTTTTTTTTTCTTGTTCTAAACTTTTTCTAATATCTTCATCTTTTCTTCTTGTAGTTTTATCGAAAAACTTTTGTCTTTGTCTTGTCTTTTCTTCTCGTTTATCTTGTCATCGTTTAGAGATGTGTATACTTGTTTTGGCTGTATGCTAAGTCTCGTCTAATTCAGGTGTATGGGGCTTGGCCAGTCTTCTACTTAGGTGCGCTATGTAGTTGGCTCTAGTAGATATTTTTCCTTTTGTTTTTTCTCTTTTTCACTTCGATACCTGTGGTCTCTTGTGCGGGTAGGATAAGAATTTATATCTATTGGTATTGCAAGTAATAGACCTTGCTTGTTGTATTTTTGGGATAAGGGTCTTTCCAATTGTTTCTTTTATTGTTTTCCAAGTTTATATGCTTAGGAATAAGTCATTTCTAATTAAGTTTTGCTTTGTAGATGCCTCGTCGTGGTAAAGGAAGTTTGGTTCCTGATCGATTGTCGGTGCTCCATAATCAAGTTATAAGTTTGGAGGCAGAAGCGGCTGAAAGAAATCCTTCAGTCTTAGAAGCAGCAAGAGAAAATTTTGTTCGAGAAACTTGGCTTCAGAATTTTAGAACGGAGAGAGATAGGCTACGTGTTCGGATAGCAAATTTGGAGGATGAGGTGCAGGAATTAAGAAGGAGGGTACGGGAGAATAGTAATAGTAATAGTAATTATTTTTGTAATATTTTGTAAATAGAATAGAATAAATAAAAATAAATAAAATAAAATTTTAAATCTAATAGTAATAAAATTGTAATGATAAAATTTGTAATAATAATAAATAAATAAAATAAAATAAATAAAATTTGCTGTTAGAACTTTAAATAATGTTCTAAGTATAAATTAGTGTTTAGGGTTGAAAAGTGTTAATTGTTAATGATAACAGTAGGTTGCCAGTTCTGTTTCTTATAGTAGTGGGCAAAACGATCACTATTATAATAATCTAATAGTGTTTTGCTTTTTAACGTTGAAAGCTTGTATGCTTCATTATTTAGTTTTGCTTGGATAATAAAGGGTCTAGTACATTTTTCCTCTAATTTAGCAGATCGATAAGCTTCGATATCTTTTCATTGTATCCACACTTTATTTCCAATTTCAAACTCTTCCACTTGAATTTTCAAATCGAATCTTACTTTCTGTTTTTTCTAAGATCGTTCAGTATTCTTTTGAATTCACTATATTAATAGAGTAATTCATCTATTAATTCAAATGCTCGCGATAAAATACTATCTTCTAAAGATATTTTTTTATCTGTTTCTTGTAGTTCAATTGGGAGAGTAGCTTCAATAAGTAGTATAGCTTGTCATTCATATACCAATTAGAAAGGTGAATATCCAGTAGTTGCATGTCGTTTAGTCTTATATGCGAATAAGACAGCTGATATATGTATATCCCAATCTTCATCTGTTTCTTTTACTTTTGCAAAGGAATTGCAAAGTGTTCGATTTAGATGTTCAACTATACTATTGGTTTGTGAATGATATAGAGAAGAAAATATATGTTTGATCAAGAACTTATCATACAAGATCTTGACTATATCATTAATAAAATCTCTTCCATTATTAAAAAGTATCATTTTGGGTATGCTATATCTATATACAATTTCTTCAAATATAAATTTAGCTAAAGTTTCTGCTCCAGCATCTGGTACAGCTTTTGCTTCAGACTATCAAGTAAGATAATTAGTAGCGACAATAATATACCGATTATTTTGAGCAATTATTGGTAGGGGTCCTACAAGATCTATACCAATGTGTTTAAAAGCTTGTCCAACTTGAATAGGATGAAGTAGTTCCTTTTGTTTACCTTTCTGTCTCTTCTGACAAGTTTCACATGAGCGAACATAGTTCTGTATATTTTTATATATTTGGTTCCAATAATATCTCAGATATTTTATAATACATAGCATCAATTCCTAAGTGTCTAGCAGTAGAATGACTATGCATCATATAAAAGACAGGTTCTACTTCAGTCTATTTGATTACTCGAATAGGTTTGTCTGAATCTCTTTAATTCTTTTTGTATAATAATTTGTCTTTGAGTTGATAATATTTTGATTGTCTAATTAATGTCCGTTTTCCATAGTCCATTAAGTCAAGAGAAATTTCATCTGATTCTAAATAGTTTACTAAATTCTGATAGTGATCCAAATTCATGTGGGGGCGATAGGTATAGGTTGTGTCTGGTTCTTAAGTCGTGATAATGCATTAACATTTGAATGAATTCGTTCAGATTTATGTATAATAGTAAAATTGTAGGGTTGTAACTTCATTATCTATCGGCCTAATCGTCTTTTGGGTTGGGATGATTTTAACCATTTAAGAGCGGAATGGTTAGTGATTAGAGTGAAGTAGTCAGTCCCAAAATACTTGTGAAAATGTTTAATAGCCTATACTATAGCAGTACATTCTAGTTTAGTAGCTCTATATTTAATTTCTTCCTTTTTTCTTCTATAATATGTTCAAGAAAAGGTAATCTTTTCATCCAAAAATTACACTTTTCGATGTTAAGCTTGAGTCCAGCTTTTCTGATTCTTGTAAATACTTTGCATAGGTGCTTGATATGATTATCAAATGTTTGAGAAAATACGTTAGTATCATCAAGGTAAACTACTACATATTTGTAAGCAATATCCTTATAGACTT